CATTAATGGAGTATTTAATTTTGTTAATGAATGAATAACCTGTTCAATAAAATATTGTTCACCCTGTTGCCCACCCACTTTAACAATGGTATATTCCAATTGGGTGGTTTATGTCCTGGGTGGTTTATGTCCTACATTCGAAATTTAATATGGCTGCTAAATGACCTTGACCTAAAATGGCTGTCATAATGACCTCTGATGAAATAGTTCCTATCAAAAATTGAATTTTGTGAGCTTATGTATGATTTTGCTGTAAAACACGACCACTTACAAACTATTAAGATATTCTACGTATTTAACAGAAAAATGAAATTGAATGACCTTAAATGACCATCTGACCATGTCACAAGTGCTATAAATCATTGACCATGAAAATATATTTTTAGACATCATAATTCTTATTGAAAATAGTTTAAAAGTCGATATATTGATAAATATAGGTTTTGCGTGGCAGCCATTTTGAAATTCAAGATGGCCGCCAGAAGGACCTCGAATGAAATATTGCAGTTCATAGTAAAATTTTTGAATTCTTAGAGCCTGGGTATGATTCTAATGTAAAATTTGACAATTACGTAATTTTAAAGATACCATACAATATTTGACCTTGAATGACCTTAAATGACCCATTTGTGGCAATCTGACCAGGTCAAATATGATATGATGGTATTCCTCGATCATATAAACATACTCTTAGACATTAGAATTATAATTCAAAGTGATTTAGAAGCGGAGATATAAATAAACATAGGTTTTATAAGGCTACCATTTTGAAATCCAAGATGGTGGCCATAATGACCTCGGATGAGGTGGTTCCTACCAAAAATTGAATGCTATGTCCATAAGGAGCATGTAAAAAAAAGTTGGTGCTTTTGTCCGGAACGTCCACATTAAGTCCAAATGTGGCCCTAAGCTGCCGTACTATTTCAGCAAAAGTGGATTATAAAGATGTGGGTTAGGAAAAATGTCCTGAGAAGGTCCATGAAACCATTCATGCGTTAACTCAGACATATAAAGATGTGGGGTGAATCACTCATGCGGAACTTTGCTATCCAAGTTGTTGGCTCATTGTGTGCACTGAAGCGTGTACCTAAATACAACGGCGGGGTGAAATTAGAAGATGTAACAGCAGTATGTTCCACTAACTTAAATTTCGTACTCGGTAAAATGTGTTATACCGAGCCGATTTTTATCATTCAAAAGTCGTTATGAGGTGCTAGTTAACGTTTAATAATATTTTTGGAAAGAAAATAATGAAATTATATCTCTAAATAGAAGTTCATATGCACCAGCCAAATATAGTAGAATCGTTTATCAGTGAGATTAATCTGTAAATAAACAATTTTAATTACTTATGTAAATATAAAGATGTGGGTAACCCACATCTTTATATACGACTTTTCATGGATCTTGACCTGCTATGTAGACGAAGTGAATGCTTAAAAGGTTAAGCAGCATATTAGGCCCTATGTTCATTCGAAATTTTGAATGGAAGAAATGCAAATGCTTTGAAAATAAATTAATTTAGCATAAACGAAACCGTTTAGATGGTGGAAAACTTTTTACACAATACTTAATTTAATTCTCAAAAAGTAGAACATTATACACAGGCCTATCCTAATTAAGATCATTTACCGACAATATTATTAATTTTAAAAGAAATCAGGGTCTCAAAGTGAATGTCATATTCGAATATCATCATGTTTAATCTAAGCTAATTGCTGATGTTGTTGTCATTCGAATGGACACCCCCGTTTATTGTTTAGAAGGGTTAAGGGGGCGTTTATTCGAGGAAAGCGTTCGTTTGAGGGGGGCGATTCGTGGGAGGAGATCATTTCTTTTATTTTTGGTATAGAATGGATTTTTTATACTCAAACTCCCCTTAATTTCACTGTAAATGTGGTACTAAAAAACATAATTACCGTCAAAATGTGTTATTGAGTGATCATAAAGAATTACTGATCTCAACGAGTTATTAAACTTTCTCTTATACACATCTCAGTCATT